CGCCGTGATGCCGAGCTCGAGCTCAGCATGGCGGCACGGATAGTACACTAGCCCCCCGAGCTCCGAAGACCGTGGGTCAAGGAGTTAAGACCGAGCTCGTCAAGTGGCTGTGACCCTTCGCGTACGCCTGCTTATCGAGATGTCATGTGTCGCAACTGGACATTTCCCGAAAATGTGCAAGTGACGCATTAATGGGAGTGACGGTTATGTAATGATGGTTTGCCTTTGTCATAATGGTTCTCAATTAATGTCATCAGATGTGCCCCTTGACTGACACGTGTCATGACCGTTTTGAATTTGGGACTCAATTTCTATCATTTATGTTCTGAGTTGGCGTTTATGCTTTAGCATGATGCAGCTTTTGGTATTGACAATACCTTATTTTTTCCAGGAGCAGATGTTGCTACATCTTTATCCAATATTCAAGATAGAATACAGATCTTCTTTGCTGTTCTTTTCTGGATGTCTCTATTCTTTTGGGCTTCTGCCTGGGATGGGAGGAATAGACCAAACAAGGGATCAGGATTTAGAAAATAAAATAGTAAGCATTTAATTTGTATATATCGAATATATAACTTGGGGGAACAGAATTATACAGCAACAAAAAAAACCATGCAACTGTCTCAAATAAGTATTATTCTCCTCAAAATTTCTGCTTTAGAATTTCACGTGCTAAGTTTCTCGTATCAGAAGTAGCTTATAAATAATTCATTTTCCTTCGTAATGCTTTATCTGGTGACAAGATGTCTAAACTTGAAATATCTTCAAATTTTGAATTTCTTGAATCCCTACTGAAGTTTGGAGTTCATTTAGAAGAGGAAATTTAGCAATCTATTCCTGAAGTGTTTGCATTAAAGTTTCCTAGCTTGTTTATAAATAGGAGTGACAACTCAATCCACTTCTTCAGTAACCATCCAATTTATTCATGTATAAATTCAACCAATCTTTTCAATTATAAAATAAAAATTATTCTTTATATATCGTTTTGTTGTTTTGGCTACCCAGCTGGTATGGTCTGTGGAAAAGAAAGTACCTTTTCTAGAGTGAACATAATTCATTGATGGATGGATTAAGCGTCAGTTTTATGAGTTTCAAGGAGTTGATATTATTTTCGCCTAGACCGGCTGATTCGTATAGATTATGTGTTTTGGTTAGCAATCTTTCATGTTATGGGTTAACTTCTCAGCAAAGGTGATCGAATACGACATATTTTGTTGCTTTTCTTTCCTAACCTCAGCAATAAACATCAGACGGAAATGGAGAATTGGAGATGACTAATAGGGTCAGGGATGAGTCATTACTTCAAAATTTAATCTTCATTTTTTTCGTAAAAAGCCTATATATTTTCATTCCGGCTTGACACGTAATTGTAGTTTTCATTGTTTAGATTTTTGTGGAGTTGTTTCTGAGAGCTTCGGGAAATGATCTCACTACGGATGGTACTGTCGCTGTCTGTTTTTCGGTGTTTCTCTACTTACCGTAGTATTATATCCCATGTTACCATGTTCGCATATTTCTGTACTTCTCAATTCTATTGGACACTTACATGAAGTGTCAATGTTACAATAAATGGATCTATGGTTCTATGCTCTCTTCCGTTTCTGGTTTTGAAGACCAGAACATGAAAAACAACGATTGAATTTACCAAGGTTTCGAAAACTGTACCATTTACCTAAGTACTGTATCAAGTAACAACATCAAAACAAAATGTAACTAATTTCCACATCTGTTTCGCACTTCAATTAGCATATTTATGTTTTTAGTACTAAAAATAATTTGTTTATGTATAACAAAAAGTTGATGTAAGTTCACCGTTCACGTGATGATTGCGACACATATTATGTAATGCATGCAGTATAAAAGTCTCTAGTTATAGAAGTTTTCTACATTATTAGCAAAGGCAGATGGAAACAAAATTGGGCATGGTTGCAGAAGCAGGTGTTGTTAGATGGTTGGTCTGAGTTAAGGCAAGATGGCGATGCAAAAGTGTTTTCTGGCCGTTCACTTACAGCAAAACAAAAATGGCGGCTTGGGCCCCCCCAGTTCGTGTCATGTAATCCACAGTCAAACGTGTCTGTACGGCATAGGTTCTACTCTCCCACTTGCTAAATTGCTAGCCCCCCATTGGACATCACATTTCCTCTAAGTAATTATGTCTTGTCTAGCGTTAATTCTTATATAAGACTATTCTTTCTTTCATTCTATTCCATGTCTCGGTATAAGAAGTTTCGCTTATATCACTTTAGATCAATTTGTTTTCCACTGTTTCTCTTTCCTTTCCTTTCTAGTTGAGTACTTTTCTTTCACTTTTCAGTTCTTAGCTGGCTTCAATGCTGGTTTCAACTTGCATTGCTAGCTTTCATATTACCTCAACTCCTTGATTTTCTTATTGTTTTTCTGACTTGTACAAGATGTTACTTAGAAGCTCCTCCGCACCAATTCTAACTTCATTGATACTCTATTCCAAAGATTGTTCTCCTGAACCAGAACACATTTTTCAGCTTCCTAAAACTACATCTGCTTTAAATCTAAGCCAGAACTTGGTGGAGATAGACCGTAAAAACTCATCAAGTCCCAAGAGAAAAAACCGTGTGCCAATTAGTTGTAATGTTCCTAAAAATCAACAGAGTATAAAAATCAAAGAAATAGATGAAGGGAAAGATCCACAACAAAAGACTTGCATGAAAACAATACCATCGATTGAGGAACTGTTTTCATGTTTGGATTTAGATAAGGGAGTCCTGGATCATGAAGAGTGTGGTGTGGGGAAAAAAGATAGCAAGTTACAGACTTCGGTGATGGGTGGTGGAATGGGGAGCAGTGGTGGTTGGATTTGTGGTGGTTGTAATGGTAGTGGAAAAGGCTCAGATGGTGGACATGGAAGAGGGTGGGGTTTCCATGAAGGAAATGACCATGGTAGAGATAGGACGGATGCTTATTACCAGAACATGATTGAAGCAAACCCCAGTGATGCTCTTTTGCTAGGAAATTATGCAAAGTTTTTGAAAGAGGTAATTAAATTTGTTTGAATAGCTTCTTGAGCTTGATCAAGTTCTCTTTCTCTAAAGATTGAAAATTTCAGAAATGATGTAAAATTATCAACTATGGTTAGATTTTGTAACTTGTTGATACAAAAAAAATGCAAGGTAAAGTGTATCTTTCTTCTATCTAACTATATAGAAATGGTTTGTTCTGATATTATTATGTTTCCAAATAGGTTTGTGGAGAATATCCTAAAGCAATGGAGTATCTCCAAAGGGCGATTTTGGCTAATCCTGATGATGGTCATAATCTGTCCCTCTATGCGGAGTTAATATGGCAAACAGAGAAGGACGCTGATCGAGCTGAAGGATATTTTGATCAAGCCATTAAAAGTGCCCCAGATGATAGGTAAAATATATGATCAACAATTCCTCGTTGATTTCAATTTTCTATACATTTTTCTAGCTGTTTACAGAAACTGAAGCATGCGTTAACCTGTTTCTTTGGTTCCCTCGGTTCCTAAACTGTTAGAAAAATGTACAGAAAGAACATTCTGCTTTATATTATCCCTCTCTTGTTGATAATGTAAACTAATGTATAAATCTCAACTGTTGGTAGCTTTGTCATAGCTTCATATGCTAAATTCCTTTGGGATACCGAAGAGGATGAGGAAGATAAAGACTGCCAAAATAAATCAGATCACAGCCGTACAAATCAAACTGATCTCTTTCATGGAACTAACCATCACCTTCATTTAACTGCAGCCTCAAAAGCCTTACCACTGTTTCTTAATTGAAGGTGACCAGTTGGTAACTTTTATGACAAATGTAAGTTAATGGTCTCAAACAGTAATTCATGCCCCTTTTGGAAGTAGTTACAGGAAAGGAAAGGGTTGGTTTAATTGAGATGACTACCTACTACTGTGAATAGCTTAAACTATAATAAGAGAGCAACTTTCAGTTCCTATTGTGCTAATAAGTGCCAGCAAGGCTTCTATGTATCTTTGAGAATGTTTTGTATGCAGACACTAAGGAGTAATGAGTAACCCTATATCATATTCCTTTAATTGTATACGTTAACTTGAAGTCAATATCCAAAGAATTCCAACCACCCGCGTTCAATGATATATAAATATATAGATAATTTGTGACTCATTCATATTGGCATTAAATTTTTTCCCTGTAATAAAGACTGTTGAAAAAAAGTTGACAAATAGTATACTGATAGCATTCTTCTACTCTTAAATTGCTTTGAGCCTAAAATTTATAGCCTCAAAGGTTGATTTAAATAGCCAAAGTGGTGGTTGAAACCATTTGAAACATGAGACATTGCAATAACACAACTAGCGTAAAATTAAAATACAATATCATGGTTTAAAATAATTCAACATAGCTTGTTAACCATTTTTTGAAATGTTTTAACACGAGAGGAAAGAAAAAGACAAAAGAGCAGAGCATCTGCATGGAGCCATAGACAAGAGCATGTGCATTTATGGATACATATATTCCAACAGATGAAAGTGGAAACATATGGCTCCTTCGTCAGCTATCGTATGTATGGGTAATGGGTTTCTTGTCTTTTTCACCTGTCAGACTCGGAGATAAGGTGGTAAGTGTTTGAGAGTTCGTCTTTTTCAATTTTCTTGTCATTGTCCGGGGTGCAGTTGATGGGAATGAGGGTTGCTATAATTAATAATTTAGCCACAACTTGTTTGTTCATTATTGAAATTGGTAAAGTTTGCATTATTTAACGAACATACTAATCATTAATTTCGCATTTTCTCCTTTGTTTAAATAAGAATCTTGTTTATCTTCACCATAGTAATCATAGATTACACTGATTTTTTACTAAGTTCAAAATTATGTTTTTGCGGCAGAACCTAAACTTCTGAATGAAAATATTTTTGTGTGTGCACTGCTGCTGGAATCCTCTGCAGCAGGATCTCAGCCGTTGATTTAAATTTAATCCAGCAGCTAAGAGATTAACTTGGATAGTATTGAATTAATCCAATGGTTGAAATTCTGTTGAAGATGGACATGATAGAATTGTTGTAGAGGATCCAAATTCGTCTCTGCTGTACTTGTAGGCTGGTAGCATAACAAGATTGAATTGTGATAAGCTGATAGTGTTCTGCCCATTTATTATGTTTTGTAAATTATCTGAGATTATACTCATTTTGTTGGACAATTTTGTCTCTATCACCACCTTTCAAACCACTCTCTCTATCCACTATTTTTCAAAAACACTATCCTTACAACTATTTTTTCACACTAGTTAGCATTAAAGGGAAAAGATATATAGAAGAAAAGAAAGCCAAAAAAAAAAAAAAAGTCTTTCTTTTCGGTGCATTAATACAATACATCCTTAAATGAGCCCAAATAATGGCTTGGATAGTTGTCAGAGGTAAGGGCCCATTATGCCTTTGCAGTGACATCCCTCCAATTAATTTGAAGGTTCACAATCGCATCGCATGCTCTTACAATTACAAACAATAAATTATCTCATGCGAAATGCTAACACCATTAATAAATTATTACATTAAAGGAGAAATGGCTCGAGTAGTTGTTAGCGGTTTGGGCCCATCAACTTTTGGAGTTTGGTGTGGCATCCCTTCATTATCACTGAAAATGGTAGTAAAAAAATCTCTATTTCTTTAATTGTATTTTTTTTAATTATTGATTCAAAATTATTATGCTTTATACAAGTATATATGGTTCCTTTTCAATTAAATGAGTATCACTCATAATTTTATAAATTTAAATTATTACAACTAATGTATCAAAATAATATTGCCAATTCTTTTCATTTTCTCATTCATGATCGATATTCACAACTTCATGAAATAAACTATGAGTTTACTTAAATATATTTTTCTATAAACACTTTTATAAAAGAAGAATAAGAAAAAAAAATTAAAATAATTTTTTTCATAAATTAAAATCAACTTATACGTGTTAAAAATAAGATTTTGGATAAACTAATAATAAAGAGTTTTTACAAAATAATTTATGAATAAGTTATTCTTTACTCATAGAAAAACATATTTTATTTCTCCTTCCTATTTTTCTCTCTTGAAGTGCTTTTAGATAAGTTTACTCAAACAAGCCATAATTAATTATAAAAATCTTATTAATCTTTTTTTTTATTAAATTTCAATTAGTAATAAAAGTTTATTAAAACAATATTATTTGTACTTTCATTTTCTCATTCTTGTTTGATCTTCAAAAAATCATGATATAGATTAAGAGTCTATTTGAACACAGGTTTAGAAATGTTTTTGAAAGTTTTTTCTATTAAAAATAAGAAGTTTTTACTCACAAAAAACATCTAATATGTATCCATAAAAAAATTTCAATACTAATTTTTATAATTAATTTTAAACATGGATTTTCTTTTCATAAAAACTTAGTATTTTTATAGATGTTTAGTTTTTTTCGAGGAAGAGGGAGAGAGGAGATAAATGTTTCATTTCAATAAATATTCTCTAATTTAATAAATTCTTAAAATAAATGCAACATAATGATAAACTATTATACTCAAAGAGAGTTTTTCAATAACTGGGCTTATAGAGCATCACAACACATTCACACCACCACACATTCACATAATTAGACATTTCAACTTTTAAAAACAACACTTATCTTCTAATTCCAAGTTAACAATACAACCCAACTTCATGCATAATACATTTACAACCCAACTTCACACAACAACATGCCAATTGCATAACTCAACACAACACAACTTTATTCAACATTATACAACTTTTCATTCTACAACTTCAACTAATAACCAACTTTCAACTCATCTTAAAACATCATCATATATCAATACATAATGAACTTAGATTAAATCATCATCATGCATCATGTAATCAATCAACTCATCAAGATATGTTAAGAAGGTTACTAGATCAAATGGGAAATGGGCACTTCATGAGCCCTAGAGTTAGCTTTGAGCAAGCTTAGATAGGGAGCACCCTAGGAGTCATAATTTCCTCGCTTAAGCAAGTAAACCCTTTCTCTAAGTAGATGAAATTCGCTCAAAGAGCTCTAGAATTTGCTTCAAGCAAGCCAAGTTAGAGATCAACCCTAAATGGTAGTGTCATCTTGCTCTAAGACACTGAAATTCACTCTAAGTGATCAAAATTTTCTTTGAGCGAGCTAAGTCAAAGAACACTTTTGAAATGGTTGCACCAACTTGCTCTAAGCGAGTGAGTTCTTGCTTTAAGCAAGTCAACCTAGAAAACATACATTCTTCAAGAACAAGTTCAACAACTCAGAAGTACCAACTTACAACTCCAACTTTTCTCTTTCAACTACAAGATTCATGCTTGCAACTTAGGAATAATCATCTATTATCAACATACAACTCAAATTTTGAAAGAGAAACAACATGCAACAATAAAAGCACCATAAGATCATCAATTTCTATCTTCAAAAAGAAACTCCAAGCAAACTAAGAACACCAAGTTCTATCTTCAAATTAAACTGAAATGCTAACCAAAACAAGAATTAACGAAGAAAATTTGACATTCACAACTTAGAAGATCAAACAAGTTTTCCTTACCTTGAAATCTCTCAAAAGAGGCAAAGGAGGAAGAGCACAGTCCTCCGAGGTACTTTGCATGACAACTTCTATATATACTCTTATTCTCAGCCCTCCAAGCTTTAAATCCTTTAATCTCTCAACACAACTTAGTTGTAAGGAAATGTAGATGCGGTCTATGAAGTCAGAAGGAAGAATAAATCTCCTTTAGCTCTAGAGTTTTTCTCTGTAACTTCCCTCTAAGTTTCTTTAGGAAATGAACTTATGAAGTTCAAATCTTAAGAAAAATCTTATATAGAGAGAAAAACACTCCACAACTCTATGTTTAAAAAATAAAAGGAAGAGAAAAAATAAAATTGTAATTATGCTTACCAAAAATATCATAAAACATTGCTTCAAATTATGTTAAAAATACAAGTGTTTCTACACTGAAGCAGTGAACTAAGTGCCTCATCAATAAGGTAGTAAATTTATAACTTTTCACTATACAAATTATTTTATAATAAGATTAAAATATAATTTAATATTTTTAAGTTTTATTTTATTTTATATCAAATATAGTTGATGTAATCGTTGAAATAATGTTTTGCCTGAAAAATCATATTAACAGAGATTTTTTATATCAAATAACAGAAATCAAAGATTGATTGCTTAACCATGTTATGGTCTACCTTCAATGCCGAATTAGATTAATAGAGCTCCAACAAAGGCTAATCTTTAGTGGTTGTGCCAAGAAGCAATGCTTCTAGTGATGATGGAGACATATATGAGGTGGGGAAGGTTGCCCCAAGGCAGTGATGTTGGAGATGAGGTCGACGACATAATGACGAAAATCGATGGGGAGAAGTTGCCATAGGTGGGGAACGCTGTGGTGGTGGGAATGAGGGATCTTGTTGGTGGTTATGTCAAGGTCGCAATAGACTTGCATTTCGTTGGAGTTGATGATTTTGGAGAAAGGGAATAGGGTGATGAAGTTGGTGGAGTGGTGGGACTTGTTGGAGTTGGTGGCACCCATGACGACCATGCCTCCTAGGGGTACTCTCTATTTGAACTCACTTAAAGTGAGCTATGAGCACTTAGAGCGAATTTTGCTTGCTTAAAGCATGCTCTTTGTGAATTGAATCACATGTTTCCTTTGAAATTTGTAATCTTCTAAGTCATATCTTGTTGCATTGGTTGTTTACATGCATGAAGATTGACGACGATTGGACCCAATTCATAATATGTTAGTTTATGATGATGTATGATGAAGATGTAAGTTGTTTTAAAGTTGAAGGAAACTTGTTGTTTGAAGTTGTAAGATGTTAAGTGGGGATACAGATGTGAGACATGTTGTTGTGTTGTGTTGTGATATGCATGAGGTATCTTGTTGTGAAAAGTTATGTTGTGAATGCTTAATTCATGATGCTGAACTATGTTGTGAACTTAGGACTAGAGGAGAGGTCTTGTTTTAAAAGTTGAAATATTTCATTGTGCGAATATGTGTTGTGGTACTCTAAGAGTCCTATTGTTGAAAAATCCTTTT